AAAACACACCACAAGCCTCACCGAATGTCTCCTTGCTACCGTGATCTCGCCCACAGGAAGCTGCGACCATGTGGCAGCAGGGAAAATGGCCACGGATCCAGTTCGTAAGTAGAGGCGGAGTTCGCAAGTAGAGGTAAATTTCTGGGGCCGGAGCTGGTCGTATCTTGAAAAATTTGTAAGGAGGAGCGTTCGTAACTAGAGGTACCACTGTATAACAGAGAACCTATTTTTGTACTATTCTTTCATTCATGTGTGTGTGTGTGGTAAGAGGTTTATATAACATGGTTGGGTTAATGAGTCAGACAGGTGTTGCAGGACTTGTTTTTCAAGAACAGAATAGAATAATCATATACAACAACATTCTTCTAGATACTGGCTGAAACAAAAATAGGCTTAAGGTTTTCATAGATACTGTGTCACAGCATTATTTGGAAGTCCTTTTGTAAAAAAATAGGTTATTTGCTGTCTTATTGAGAAATTGTAAATTATAGCCCCAACCCACTCCATCCTCAAGACAGATTTACAAACAAAGCTTTTTTTAAAAAAAATTGATGACAGCATCTTCTTACTATTACCAAATTTAAAAATGAGAGAAAAGAGATAAAAGTAGAAGAGTGGTCCAACCACATTTAATAGCACCACTAAAAGCTTGTCACAAAATCCCTCAGGAATACTCATTTCAAGTTTGTTAAAAGCCCTTTCTGTAGAAAAGGTGAACTGAGAAGCACCTCTCCAGTAGTTTGCACATAAATGCTGTTGCTACTCTTTGACATAAATTTTGTGTGACTTGTATATAAATACCTATTGCACTTTAGAATTCATTTAATTTCAGCAAGTCAACTCCAGCACTTGAGATCTTTAAGCACAGTTTCCACCTAAATAAACATTTTGAGTTTTCCTTAAAGTATGCATTTTCACCTGCCCATGTAACAGCTACTATAACACTGGAAATAAACTGTAGAAAATACTTGTGCACTACCCCCACCATAATTCTAAAATAAAATAGTTCACATAATAGAAATCAGCATCTGCATATTTTCAGGGAAGTGAATATTTTGACATTCATGGGACACTTGTAATACTCCCAGGTTTTTCCTTAAAGAAGAAAAATTGGTATGCAAATTCTATCAAAGATCTGTGTACAGTATGGAACATATTGTTCTAATACATTCTTAATTGGCCTTGAAGAACAATTTACATTGCATTAGAAATCCAATTTGCCACAAAGAAGAATTTGAGAGCAGAATATTAAAGCCCTGAAAGCTTTACGAAAAATATATTTCTAGCACAAACATCCAATCCTCACTGGATAAAAGTACAGAAAATAAATGCACACAGAGATTGTATGCTTTTTCAGAATCAAAAGCCATTGCTATTAAACAGAATTTTTTTTAAAGAACAAGTAATTCTCCCTGGCAGTGATCACAACAGTTGAAAGTTATGTTCTCATATCTAGTGTAGGGGTGAAACCGTCCAATATTTTTCTTTGGGGAAAGAAAAGATGCTGTTGAAGCCTCGGAAAAAGGAAGTTCTGATACCTCTGTACATGTACCAGAATCCAGCATTCTTAATACCTGGAAAACAATAATAGCAATGAATGTTTTGGAACAGTGTCTTTCAATCAAGCAAGCAATCAATCAATCCATGCTGTGCCTTTCCATCCAAAAGAAAACCACAGTGGTTTCCATTAGTAAAAATATTTAAAACATATTTAAAACAATCTGAAATATCTGGATAAAGGGGTAGTTCATTTTCTAAAGTTAAGGTGGCCAAGTTCAATTCCCATGCAAGAGAAAGGTCTCTTGCAGTAGTCCCCAAGTTACAGATGACCCATAGTTAAGAATGGAGCCTACTGAAGCAAAATTTGAGTTAAATACATAGTGATTCGAGTTAAATACACAATGGTTCAAGTTCATTACACAATATTACTTATACAGTATTATACAATAATATTGTTCCAGCTTACATACAAATTTGATCTAAGGACAGACCTTGGGAATGGAACTTGTTCTTAAACTGGGGACTACCTGTATTTCCAAATGACTTTTTAGAATCACAGTGGCATCTCTACAAGATTATTTTATTCTGTACAGGATAAAGAGTTTGCTTCTTAAAGCTGTTTATTATCTTAAAAATTAAAACCAGCTCTTTGAATTGTGACCAGAAAGCAATTAGCATATTATTCTAGTTTCACATATCATCACCTAGCTGCCACAATTTACACCAATTGAACTTTGCACACACTCTTCTGTATTAACTGAACAATAATATGGGAAATGCAAAGATTATTATAATTCAGATACCATTAGTTGGAAATGATTGGATCTGACACAAAAGGCATAATTGTGTTCCTTTTACTACTGTAATCTGGAGAACAAGCAGGAATCTAATCTTGTCTGCCCAGCACACGTTGAACAATAAATTCCAGCTCAGATTTTCTATTAGCCTCCAATCTAGGCCATGGTTCAGACTATGTTCAAGGAAAAACTTCCTCAGGTCTTTCTATCAGCAATAGAAAGAAGTGGGCCACAAAAGAGGTGTAGCTCCAGGGATCAACTGCCAACTTACTCTAATCACCTCTGGATTTGTATCTTGTCTTGCAAACAAATAGTAGAAAACATATTTATATTGCCATGCAATATAGTAGAATATATTCTGAAAAGTACTTAACAAATAGAGAGTAGAATCTATCCATTGACTGAAAACTACATTGAGTTCAACAGGGACTCTACATGTAATAAAGCAAGCTTGGTGTAAACAAAAACATATACAGTATTTTACAACAAAAGTTAAGGTGCATAAATAAATATGATTACATCTGTGGGAGACAGATAAAAAACCAACAATTTTAACCTGCCCACTCCCAGGCTCAGGCTCAGATGCACCTCCTTTAGCTTAACTGGCTGTACAGGGACCATTGTCCATTATTCAGTAAACAGATGGTCCTAATAAGTTGAGAAATACATTTTTATATTCAAAGTATGAGAATGCTAATAGGCCAGAGTTCAAGGCTCATTAAATCATAACATTTGTTATAATACAATAAAAATAAACTGCTTCATGTTTCTAGAAAGTAAACTTAATGCCCAACAGAAAGTCACGCTACTGTATAAAATATTTTTACCATTTCAGCCATTTTCTCAGCAGGGGTGTTGCAGCGTTCTGTGGATGAAGAGCCATTTTTTGGACTGTTAGCGCTATTGGAGTTTCCAAGTAGATGTGAAGTTACTGCTCTAGCAAGTTTATGATTTACAGCAGCTAATTCTGCCGTACTATGAGGATGCGCACTAGGATAGTATGTCTGCTGCCTTCCCCACTGTAGAGAAACCAGGAGCTCCTCTAATAATCTGCATTGGAAATAAATCAGTTTCAATTACAAATATTATAGACCATGAGAAGATTTGGTGGCTACATAAATAACAGGATGAACAGTCAAGAAGAAGGAAGGATAAAAAGAAAGGGGTGTTAAATTATTCAAGAACAAAAATTGCTATTTACAGTTTTGCTGGTGATGCAAGGAGATAGTCTATGTAGCTTCTGGTTAAGATTTTCGATAGAAAAAATAGTGTGAAGATGAATTATCAAACCTTTATGGTACTTGTGTAACAGGGGAGACCACAATAGGAAGGGCAGAAAAAACTCAGACCAACTGTAGATTATTCCAAAAGAGGTAAAAATAATTGGGGAAAAAAAGATGTTGATTTCCCTTTGCATAGGTAGCCCTTCAGTTCACATCAGCCATGTGGGATAGAAATTTCACCCAGGGAATATGGACAGACCTATTACCTATTACCAATTCCTGTCATCCACATAGAATAAGGTTTCTTACTTATGGATAATTCTGACAACAAAATGTAAGATAAGCAGACCATAGAACAAAAACTTAAGCTTGCTAGGCAAGCACCTAATAACTAGGTATGGTAGACTCTGTCAATCAATTGCCACAGAGAATGAGTTTTGTCATTTTAGGGCAACGCTCATTGTTTTCAATTTTTTTCTGTATTCATCTCTCATTCTCTCTATATAATGCATACATATAGGTGAAACTTGAAAAATTAGAATATCGTGCAAATGTTCATTTATGTCAGTAAGGCAACTCAAAAGGTGAAACCAATATATGAGATAGACGCGTACTTGGTTTGGGCCCCTTTTGCAGCAATGACTGCCGCAATGCGGTGTAGCATGGATGCTATCAGCCTGTGGCTGAGGTGTTATGGAAGACCAGGATGCTTCAATAGCGGCCTTCAGCTCCGCTGCAATAACACAAGGATTGGAAATAGAACAATATAGGACCTCTGCAAAGTATAAGCATGCATATGTACTCAGTACTTGGTTTGGGCCCCTTTTGCAGCAATGACTGCCGCAATGCGGTGTAGCATGGATGCTATCAGCCTGTG